CTTAAACCCTACCCATAGGCTCCTTAGTAGTTCCTTTTTGGGATTGCCTTTTTGGAGTCTAAATATAAACCACAAAAAAGGAACTACTTAGGGGCCTATGGGTCAACCCTAAACCCTCTGAAGTATAGTCTTTGGACCCTAAACCCCTATAAACCCTAAACTAAACCCCTAAACTAAACCCCTAAACCCCTAAACTAAACCCCTAAACCCCTAAACCCTAAACTAAACCCCCAAAGAAGCCCTTATATCCATGAGCTCTCAGAGCGCGGGGGCCAGGTTTGCTTATCAATTAGGGCTTAGGGTTTAGGCTCGGGTTTAGGGTGTATAGGGCTTAGGGTTTAGGGTTTAGGGCTTCTAGGGTTTAGGGTTTAGGGTTTAGGGTTTAGGGCTTATAGGGTTTATATGGTTTAGGGTTTGAGGGCTTATAGGGTTTAGGGTTTATGGGGTTTAGGGTTTAGGGTTGTCAGAAGAACTCACCAGACATGCCAAGCCCTCACGGGGTTTAGGGCTTAGGGTTCAGGAGCATATACATACAGGATTCGGCTCCCTATCCGTCTCGGAATGGTCAAGCTTCTGTCACAGCTGAGGCAGGCGCACCCGCATTGCCCTGCATCATGTGGGGGTCTCCATGATGCCGCCGTCGGAGGCTAAGGTCGAAAATGGAAACGTTTCTGACCCTGGGCTTGGAAGACGGGTCTACATCTATACAGTAAGGCTTAAGCTGTCATGACTGTGCCAGAACAGCAGATCCTAAGCTTACTCCTGAACCGACTGCGACATTGCGATGTCGTTTTTGTGAGTTTGGTTTGCAGTGGATTGATGGCTGAAAACTTCGAACATCGTTTCCGGCTTTACCCTGCCCTGAGGTTGAGCACGACTGTTCCGTGCCGATGGCGCAAGAGTTGAAAACAGCTCGGCTTGAGCCAAAAACCAAGCAGATGGCATTCCTAAAGGACAAAATGACCCTTAAAAGTAAGGGCCCCCTTGCCCTTTACGGTATGAACCCCTACATGGCAGATGAACCTTAAACCCTTTTGGGGTTCATCTCGTCTTCGAGGTTCTGGGTTTAGGATTTAGGGAGCCCAACCCTTTAAGACATGCCCCCCCCACTGAAATAAAACACATACGATGGCCTCCATCAAGCCTTCAACGCGAGCCTTGGGGGTCTGCACCTCTCGAACCCTCCTAAACCCTATAAACCCCTAACCCCTAAACCCTAAACCCCTAACCCCTAAACCCATAAAACCCTAACCCCTAAACCCTAAACCCCCAAACCCCTAAACCCTAAACCCTAAAGCTGTTGTTTGATGCTTGGGGCTTCGGGAAAGTCCCAGATCTTGAAACCCTTCAACCTGCCAGGCCTGAACCTCAAACCGCAAACGGAACCCCAAGCCCTGGTGTTGATGATATAAGTCCTTGGCATGACCTTGAGGACCCTAAACTATGGGAATTATGGCATATGCCTCCTTACGATGGGTAATGCAGGATTTATATCATCAACCGTAGTAGCGAAGATAAGGGCCCAGGAAACGCGTCTCTCGACTTTCGCATCTCCGCAACAAGTCGCCGTGTCTTTGGGCAATCTCTATGCATCGTAGGCCAAATGCGGGACTGACAGATCCCCTAAACCCTAAACCTACTAAACCCTAAACCCTCAACCTTAAAGCCTAAACTCTAAACCCCTAAACCCTAAACCCTCAACCTTAAACCCTAAACTCTAAACCCCTAAACCCCAAACCCTAAACCATGGTGGGCCAAATGCGGGACTGACAGATCGGTTTGGGGAGCATCCCTGCTTCGGGCTCAGGTGGTTAAGCCCTGCGTAAAGAAGGTCTAGCATGTAATTAGGGGGCGTAGCTACAGTTCCCTAAATAATGGGCTACTGGGTGATATATTATGTATATGGTTAGCCATTAGTAACAGCTCCCTAAATAATGAGCTACTGGGTGATATATTATATGGTTAGCCAGTAGTAACCTACTATCTAAGTAACTGGAGCCCCAGGGTACCATCCACTTGGTAGTAATTCGTGGTAAGGACTGACTGTCCGGCATTTTCACAGGTCTGGCGTGCGTGCTGTGCCGCACGACGACCACTAGCATGCAGGCCCGTTTTGGGCATCCGGTGAGAAAGTCGAGCAGCAATTCTGCTCCGAAGTCAATGTAAGGAGATGCGCCTCTGAAGCCGCGCGCAAATCACCGGTTCCGAAGCGACGTAAAGCCACAATCTCGATCCCCAAAACACCTCGCTTGAACACGACATCGTGCCACTAACATGGCAAGACTGTAAGTAACAGTTACGGAACGGCTGCATGAATCGGCGAACAGGCTTTGCCAACGTGCAGGCAAGTATAGTTGTCAAGCTTCGCAAGCCCCCGTTCGAAATTCTAACCAACCATATCAACACAATATGTCTGTTCAAAAGCACTCCTTCGGAATGTTAGCCAAATTAGAAAGAAAGTCGTAGTTCCAAAGAACACCATTTTGCCTTTTTGAGAAGGAAAAGCTTATTTCTTAAGAACACACTACCCATGGGCTCCTAAGTAGTTCCTTTTTGTGGTTTATATGTAGAATCCTATAAGGCAATCCCAAAAAGGAACTACTTTAGGAGCCTATGGGTAAGGACAGCCAGCAGCCAGCGGGTCGGAAAGGCGGCGGCGCCAAAGTTCGGCAATGCATCGATCCAGCTTCGCGTGGACCGCCGATGAATCGGGACTTTCGGTTCCTTCAAGGGATCCTTGAAGGGATCTATAAGGGATGTAGGGCATTTGGGCTTTATAGGGTTTAGGGTTTAGGGCGGGGGGGATTTTCGTGATAGGGGTTTAATTCGGGGTTTCGGTTGGGAGCTTGAGGGTTTCGGGGCTTGGGATACTTCCAGGACAGTCTGCCCTTCTGGCATCATGTTGATGGCGTCTGGGATGTAATGTTTAAGGTTCGAAGCCTGAAGCCCCCCCTCCCCGATAGCTTGCTTGTCTCTATATATATATATATATATTCAGATGGATGTGGAGCCTCCGGTAAAGCAGCCTAAAATCGAGCCGTATGCTTCGTGATATTCTGACTCCCGGCCTCGAAGTACAGGACCTCTACTCGGTCTAAGGAGATGGTACAGTGCAGTGCCTGCCTGCTTCAGGCGCAAGCTAGCCTACAGGGCTACGAAACACTCCTCCACCCAGATCTGCACCTACTGTGCACACATATAAATATGCTACCTAAATTTGTATATATATATATATATATCACACACGCGCACACACACACACACATGAAGCATTGCTTTTCGTGTGCTCTTTGCAGGTCCTGCACCGGCAGCCACGCGGCCAGCTAATTCAGAAGACTTCGAGTTGTCGAGGCGCGATGCACTGAGGACACTCTTGCCTTTCTCGCTGTGTCCCAGAGCCCGTGTCTCTCCAATCTGAAGCCAACCTAAACCATATCAATCCCTGGACTTCGTATATAATCCCGAAGCCTGTAACTGTTGCACCTCGAAAACCAGGAACTCCTGAGAATCACAAGCCCTCCCTGCACGAAGACTTGTTACGCGCGCACAACTAGCCTAACTAGCCTAGAAATGCATCAAGGCAGAGTTTAGCATATCGCCATGAGCCCTTTTTTCTTGTGACTGTTGTTGGCAACATTGTAACTGGAATCATACATCTTGCTCTTGCCCTTCTTGCTTTGTCATGATACATATAATACCTAAACGATTAACCCTCAACCCTGACCCCTGTTTTTGCGGACTGAACCAGAGGATGCAGGAATAATAACGAATTTGTGAATGGGGAGTTGGTTTACAGTAGCATCTCTGCTTGTAGAGGCTTTGAATGACAGAATAGGGTCTTTTGGGTGTGTATGTCTATCTATCTATATATATATATACATATATGTATATCTATATATCTACATATATATATAGATCTGTATATCTATCTCTCTCTATATATATATGTGTATGTATATCTGTCTTTCTATAATTATCTGTAGATGTATGCATGTATGTATGTATGTATGTATGTATGTATGTATGTATGTGTATATACATATACAATATATATCTATATATGCATCTAGACATCTAGGTATCTGTATCTATATCTACCTCTATATCTGTATCTATATCTATAGATACACCTAATACTGCTCGTGCTGTACGTATGCACGTGTGTCTATATGTATACACGCGCATATATATATATGTATAACATACATA